ATTTCAATATTTAACAACTCAACAATCTCAGCCAACAAATCATAATCTCATAGAGTTATATATGGATTCGAGTTCAGATTTATAGAGGAACGTAAATGTTCTTCAACAAGGTAAAAAAGAGTATTGAGAGTAAGAAAAACTAAGGTGACGAGGAGAGAATCCGAATCCCCCTTTTCCAAGGTTTCTTCTAGCACTTCCTGCATCAACAATGGTCCTTCCTTCGCGTTCAACACCTTGTGATGTTTTCTTCTTCTTCTTTCCAGTACTGGAGCTGGTACTTGATAAGAGAAATAGATGTGGTTTCCTTTCCCAAGTTCAGCCGCCTCTACGTTACAAAATATGACCAAGGACACCTTCTTTCTTCTCAGCTGCAGGTACTTATTGTACCCTAATTCCACGTGGCAGCACATGAGAAAGCCTCCAATGAGTGGCTCAATCAGCACCCTTCACAGACAAAATCAGCCCATTAACCAGCTCAGGTCCAGCTGTCAGCAAAACACACGTCTGGCCCAGCTTATCTTGGTGGAGCAATGTAGAGCAATGCTGACTAGGATTTCTTCATACTCCAAAAATGAGAAGCTGCTCAAAGCTCTAAACGACCACGTTTTCTTAAAGCTGAGATTAACCACAAAGTGCACTTAAATTAGCTCTTTTTAAACGCTAATCACGAGAGAGAGAATTTATGAAACACAAATAACTAAAAACTATTAACAAGACAAAATATAGGAGAAAACTAATACTAATTACCCTCTAGGTAAAAATTTAAGCCTGGGAAATGCTCAATTAACTCTATTTTCATAAAGTTATCACACCCCCAAACTTAAACCATTACTCGTCCTCGAGTAATGACGCAAAATAAAACACAATAAAACACAAGATGACAACTGCAAGACTCTACTACCTATCTAAAAATCTGGTTTCTGCTGTGAATGTGGTCAACCCTCAGCCCTCAAAGTTGCTTTTTCTATCCTAAACCTTTGTTCAATATCAACACTCATGACTCTCTAGTTCAATTCATCTTAGACCTTTCCCCAGAAATTAATCCTCCCCTAAGTGCGTGTGTGGAAACTGTGACTAGCAACTCTTGAATCACCTAAGTCCCAATGAACTACGATCATAGCACCTAGATAGTGGTTTCATAGGCTGGCTCATCAAATCCTTCTCCGCTTTGTAAAGTTACCAATTACTTAAGATTCACCAGAAAATGGGTTGTTTAGGGGGGTGATTTATTCTTTTCTTCTCTTAATAATTTTTTTTTTGAAAACTCTTCACATAACTCCTATCTTTTGACGCGAATGCCAACATTGGTGATGAAGGCACCCGGTTACTCAATAAGGTTATGCTTCAGAGCTGCCACAACATAACTCATGATTTAAACTACCTTTTTACGCAAAAGTACACATGGGGCACATGTTACTCTTGGTTACTCAGCAGCTTAAAACAAAGGAGTGTTCCAACTTAATTTCCACTTTTAACTTGTATTTATTTTTTTTCTTTTTTTTTTAATTTTTTTTTTCATCATCAACTCCCCCAAACTTGAATTCTTCCTACCCAATCCTAGCTCCTCCAAACTGCTTGGCTTCCTAACTATTGCCTCAAGGGATTCTTTAAGCTAGTTCTAAAACCTTAAGCCTCCCAAAGTTCAAAGTTTCCTAAGTTCTTCTCAAATTACTATCCACAGTCCAAAGTGTTATAAATGGGGAATAAATCTTTCCTGGAAATCAGTCCACAATAAACATCCCTATTGAGTCATTCATGTCAATAAATCCCAAAATTTTTAAGATTTTCAAACAACTACATCATCATTAAGCATCCTTAGGTTAACCACTAAACCAACAAAACCAGAGAACACTAAACTAAAAATACAAGTTCTAAACAGTAACAACAAACAACCAACACAAAAAGAAACAAAAACAAATAAAAATAAAACACTGACAAAAATCATAAAAATAGAAAACACCCCCCCAAACTTAGAGGGGAGCAGTGTCCTCACTGCACAAAACACAAAAATAACCCACAATAAACATAAGATTATATAAAAAATATATATATATAGTGTAGGTAAAAGAAAACTCCCTCAAGTGTGTGTCATATGTTCCACTTCC